CTCCCTATCAAAACAAAATTGTTGCAGTAAGATTTGTATAACAAAAGCAGTTAAATAAATAAATTAGCTTTATAATGAATCCCAACAATATGAAAACCAAACAGGGTTTAGAAATATTTTCACTTCATATTATTTTACATGTAATATAAAGAAGACATCTCCAATTGCCCGTATGTTTAAATACACAAATTAAATAGGTTTACTTTTCTTTCATGTCGTTTACTATTTGGGTGAGTACATTTAAAAACGAATCCAGCTAAAACCGTTGTAGCCGTTGATGGGACGTTACAAGCCATATATATTTTTAAACTCATTCGTCACCGTCACCCGTTGCATCCTGGGATATGGTAGACCGCGGAGTGTACATCAGATGTATCCTCTAAATCTGGGGAAAGAAGGCTGCATTTGCGGGCCGCATTCGGAGGAGTCTTGTCTTTTTTTTGAATTGGGACAGCCTTCGTTTGGCGGAAGTGACGTGTGCGGTCTCCGAATGCATCAGGTTGGCCTGTCAGCCTTCCATATGTGCACACATGTGCACGTTCGTGTGTGTTGGAGGAGGGGCTCTGTAAGGGAGTGGCAGATTTGTTCCAGCTGTGTATTTTCAAATCCTAGTGCACTCCAGCTGGTTTCTCCAAAATGACCTACCCCACCTTTAATTTGCTAAACTTCAAAGGAAGTTAGGAAAACGTTCCCTTTCTCTGGCTAATATAAACTCAGCCCCAAGACTACTTATTCTATCTTTTTTTGCCATTTCACCACCACAAAATGGTGTCCACCTGCCTCATTATTCCTATCTGAAGGGAAATTGATTTTACAGCATAGAGGGGAAAATAAACCAGAATTCCACCAACTGACTTTGTGTGGGAAAGACTCAACTTCGAATATATGCCTATCTTTTGGCCCACTTGTTAGATATATGCATAGGAATTTAATCTCTTAAATTAGCATAGGTTATCATATTCTGACGTTTTGTGGACTGTGGATTTAGTTAATAATTTATTATGGAGGTTATAGGGTCACACATGTTCAATACTGTGAAATTAATTGGCATCACCATACCCGTATTGTGTAACAGTTTTAAATCAGTAGATGAACAATCATTTAATAAAAGAAAACAGCATCAGAATATTTTCAAATGTGATACTGTATGCACGGCTCACCATCGAATAAGTCGTGTTTTCCTGTGCGACACCAACGTCACATCCGCTTTCTCGATGCCCAATGTTGGAGAGTAATGGCGGCGTGCCGGGGATCCTCGTCGAAATGGTTTTTTACCCGGGAACAGCTCGAAACAACGCCGTCCCGTCGATGTGGAGTCGAACCAGACCGAGAGCTCTCCTACCGGCAACAAGCGGCAAATCTGATCCAAGATATGGGTCAGAGACTCAACGTGTATCCTTTGTAAACAACGTTTTCTGGACTGGAGGTATCAGACATGGCACTAACAGTTCCAGCGGGCCCAGATAGCATTAGCTAATTTAAAACTGACTGCTGAGTAAATGGAGCAACGTTTGTAACTTGTCAACGTGTGTGTTCTGTGATTTTTTAAATTATGTTATATTTTGCAAACCTGGAATCTCGATCCCATGTGTTTATGTGTAATGTTAGCTATGCGCTAATATAGCAGGCTACCTAGCTAGCTGTGGTTTGACGTCTAAAGGCCATTAGGCGAGTTTGCAGCTGTTGTTAGCTCCTGGTCCACTGAATGCATTTATTATTCGGTCCAGTCGATCTCTGTTAATTAAATAATGGCATGTGTTATTTTATGACGCAAGTTTAAGTTTGAAGTAGGCTAATTTGCCTTCTCTATGTACTTATATGTACCACAATTACTATCATTAAGCTAGTAAGCTAGCTTGATGTACAGTGTCGGTTGATCAACTGTTTACTTGTCTCTAATTAACCTTAACTCTTTTAAAACATTTGTCTAATTATAATACGTTGCCAAACGATACGTGTTTTTACCTGATATAATTGCATATAGGTAAAGTGTTTATTTTGTTATTGTCAGCATGGTTTTAACCCAGTGAAAGTTAAAAAAATTCCCTTGACCAACTCTCCAGCTCCCAACTAACAATAAATACAGCCATTGTTTACATGCATAGATTTTATATGAACCACTCCTTCACCAAATTCCACAGGAATGTAAGTATCAAGTTATATAACACTGCTATTGACCTGTAACCTAGTACCTCATGTTGGATATATTGTTACATACATTGCACAGAGAAGTATTGGGTATTATATGGAAATATCTTGATGCTTCTGTGCAGATAATCTCTCCAACCACCTTATTCTTGGCCGCAAAAGTGGAAGAGCAACCTCGGAAACTCGAACATGTGATCAAAGTGGCACATGCTTGCCTCAATCCCCAAGAATCGCCTCTAGACACAAAGAGTAATGTAAGTTCAGGGTGATCTCACATTGTATGGTTGAAAGTATTTTTCCCTTTTTCTACATGTGACTTCCCAGTTCTCACAGTGGTCATGGTTTCCTTATGTGATACTGGCTGTACCAAAGTCCCTTGCCCTCTACTGAGAGCCTTAACTTGAATTCCCTGGCTGGCTGTTGGTGTGTACCATACACCTTACAAGGCCTACATTAAAAGTAAAATGTGCCTCTGAGTTTTTGGCCATTTGAAATTAGTTAGTGGGATAGATTAATAGACTCATTACAATTGTGTTGTAATGACTGTCTATCAAACTTTAGGCATACCTCCAGCAAGCTCAAGAGCTGGTGATACTTGAATCCATAGTGCTGCAGACCCTGGGTAAGTAGTGGTGACTGGAGTGGATGACTTGAGAGAGAGAGAGAGATAGCGTTTTGTTTTATCATAATCATTATCTTTGGCTTATCAATAAGGGAGTAGTGCTATTGATCACTGTTTGAATTTATTCATCACAGCCTGTTGAGTGAAATGTTGTATCAGCTGCTGTATGGGTATCTTGTCATATACATATTTTCAAGAAATCATGTAAAGGTGACATGTCATTTTATCTTTGCCACTTTAGCATTAGTCTTTTTGCAATTTTTCACAGGATTTTTATTTATATCTCCATTTACCTTCAATACCTATACATGTGGGTGCCAGAGTGAATGCTGCTAGAGCTCATGACATCTATTTTTAAAATCTATATATGAGCATCAAGTTTCACTATTCATATTGAACATAAAGATATCTATCCAAATCTAAATTGATACTCCTAAATGGATCCCTAGGTGTGTTTGTTAAATCATAAAATGACATGTCACCTCCCAACTGTCTCTGTGTTGAACTCACCTGTCATGTATTTTGTTCCAGGCTTTGAAATTACTATTGATCACCCACACACTGATGTGGTGAAATGTTCCCAGCTAGTGCGAGGTAGAGGCTTCCTTCTTTGCTCTTTGTGCCCTCTGCTCTTTTTTTGTCCCACCTCAAATGTGGGTGGGGAGGGGGATTGATGAAACCCTTGCTGATTTAATGGTTACATGACCACACACACACCTTGCTCTTTTCACGACATTTGAAATATGACACAGCACATAGACGACAACATTGACATGCACTTATTGGGCCAAGACTGAAATTCTTTATTTCTTGGTTTGCCATTTCATTCTGTGTCCGAGGAACTAGGATTCCTGTAAATATTGGTTATGTTGGACAAGGTCAACAAAGTCCTTTGGCTTAACATCTTCCAGTTGCTTCTTTAGTGTAGCAGTTGTGTGTTGGTAGTATTGTTTTCAGTCTTGGCCTTGTCTTAATCAGTGCTTTGAAACAGTCAGTTCCTGACCCAATGTTAATGTCATGCTCCGTCTTGCAGAAATATTAATCCTTTTATTTTCCCCTCCCCTGTTTTCCTATTTTTCTTTCCCTCTCTTACAGCAAGCAAGGATCTGGCACAGACTTCCTATTTCATGGCTACCAACAGGTTGTTATCCTGTCCCTCCTTTGTTGCACTTTGACTGCACACCATAGCTTCCTGTAATGCAGGGTACCCTTTCAGTGTCCAACGGGCCCTAATAGCGCTGGTGGTTGTTGGGATGCTTGCCTCCTCCCCCGGCTCCCCTCCCTCGTTCACAGGGAGCGGGACAGGGTGGCTCGTAGCGTTACCGGCCCCAGTCGCAGTGCGGTGTATTGTACAAGGGACCACGTGTTGGCACAGATGGGTTGAATGCAAGGTGTGAAGTGTAGTGGTGCACTTGAAACCCACATGTTTGTTCGGTTGCGAAAAAGTGCATAATTCTAAGAGAAAGACACTTTGGTAGCCTGAATAGCAGCTAAAGATTTCAGAGATGTAAACATTTCTCGTAGAGGTCCACCCGGTAAGTACCACAAATTAATTCTTAAAATGTTATTTTTCATATCCATTTGTAAAAAATGCATAATCCTGCAATTTTTTTCATATTGCACATACTTTTCCCAGATTTTCAAAATACATATAGCTCATGTAAAACATGTGACAAAAATATTACCACAACCCATTAAGGACCTAGACAATATTTAATGAATGGCATGTCAATTGTTTATCTCTCAGACTGATCAAAGTACATTTTTTGATGATTATCAAAATGTATTTTAGTATTAAACTGGGTCCTTAACGGGTTTGTTTATATTTTACAGTTGTGAAAAGTAATTTTGCATTAATGTAATTAAATCGTAATGTCTTGAAATCAATTGACAATGTCTGGAAGCTGACTGAATCATGTTTGCAATTTTACACCAAGCTAGTACTTAATTATGAGTGCAATTTACAAAAAGTTAATATACACATTTTTTTGGAATTGAGTCAAGAAGAATCATCACTAAGATGTCTAAATTGATTTGAGTTTAAACTTTTCCCGTCAGCCAAAGTCTTTGTAATGTCTGCCGTGACAGTTAGCTTTGTTCTAAAAACGCCGCTGTAATCTGACAGCCCAGACTCCAGACATTGTACTTGTCTTACAGGCAAGGTTGCCATCTAGCTCTATTGATTGTGAGGAACTTTCATCCTTAAAATATATTTTTTTAGGCCGTAGCCCAACCCGGAAGTTAGCATTGCAAAGGCTCTATCGAAAAAAGCATTGAGATTTACCATTGAACTAAGGAATCTTGCGGAAAATAAACATGTTTTTGCCACGTTTTGTTTAGCAGGATAATTTCCACATTGAATTGTTAATCTTATCGCCAGAAGCAAATAACTAACATGAGACAATTAACAACCGACAACACGGTCGCAGTTCACGTCACCACTGCTAAAAAAAAAAAAGGTGGATTTGTCTCGGTGTGACATCTAGTAGTTTTATTTAGCCACTTTCTTAGCAATCACTGGTTTTAAGACGCGTAAAAGCTCCAGGAATTCACGTGTGGTGTATTTACTGACATATCAAATGACTTCAAGACAGGGGAACTGAAATTGCTAAAATGCTGACTCATTTTTGGTTTTAGGACTCATTTGATCAATCCCCTTCATGCTTGCAACATAAAGTTACACTTTATCAATGATGGTTCCATTCCCTTTGAGTCATAGTTAGATTAGGATTATCTCTAATTTTTAATCAAGAAGGTTCAGTGTTGAAACCATGCCTGCGCTTCAGTTTAGCCCTAACAGTTTCAGTATTGGTGCCGCGTTGTATCCATTGATCTGGAGGGCCCACTAGGTTTATCCCTTTCAACACAGAGCCATAAAGAGAGGGTTGTAGGAGCAGCCTCTCGCCAGTTAACAGTAAAATGATGTAACCGTCACATGGGTGGCCTCTGGTTTCAGTGTTTCACAATAGGGCTGCACTCAGCCACTACACGTGGCCCCCTTCCACTTCTGTTTTTATGTCCTAACATTTAACCAAGCCAGGTTCTTTGAAGCATAAATTGACACATGACACAATGTATGATGTGCCTGCATGAATTATAAAATTAGGGGACATTTCATCTGTATTGTGACCTAGGGCGCACAATACTTTTTTAATCGCAACTAAGGACTAGGCTTAATATAAAAATATAAGCACTATTTTTGGTAATAAAATATGGTGAAAACATTTAGTTTGAATTGCGTATTGCAGTTCTCGGCGAGAATTCACAACAGATCATTTTGTTATACTACTCAATTATAATGTGAATAATGTTTAAACATTTCACAAATCATATCCCACTTGCAATATCAGTACAAATAATGGCAATAAGCTATATTGTCCAAATGGTGCAGCCTTAATTTTGATCTGTTTGACACGAGAAACTGTTAAATTACATTTTACATTGTATGATCTTGAGCCAATAAAAGCTTATCATTTGCAAGCAATGCCTACAGTAAATTAAAACGGTCCGCTCCCTCTTGTTTTTTCTTTTCTCTTTTCTACATATGCGGGACCATTCGGATATCGCCTGACCTGAACTCACTCCACATTCCACACATTCCTACACCCTCACATTTCTTTCATGAACACACACACACACACACTCACTCACTCACTCACTCACTCACTCACTCACTCACACTCTCTCTCTCTCTCTCTCTCTCTCTCATCACTTGCGCATACCCTCACACATTATGCAGTCTACACCTCACTACGTTCTGCCTCCAGTACAAACCCACAGTGATCTCCTGTGTGTGCATCCACCTGGCCTGTAAGTGGTCAAACTGGGAGATCCCAGTTTCCACTGATGGGAAACACTGGTGGGAGTACGTGGACAACTCGGTCACCCTCGAGCTGCTTGATGGTGAGATTAAATTAATGTTTTGCTTTACCATAATGCATTACTGTGGATACATTTACCCTGCACCAAGATCTTATATCTGCCCTCTTATATCTAGGATGAAGGTCATAGTACTCGCATATTTTCCAATGGTTAAAATGAGAGAAGGGGAAGTTGCGTTGTATCAGCAGAATTTGTGGTGATTTAATGACGACATGCATGTCTTTTACTTTCAGAGTTGACCCACGAGTTTCTGCAGATTCTGGAGAAGACGCCCAGCCGGTTAAAGAGGATTCGCAACTGGAGGGTAAGAGACATTGCTGCTCGATTTCCTGCATTGGAAGGTTAACATGCAATTATGGTCATTTCTCGGTTGTTAGTGATTTCTGACAAGTCGGGACTGTAGATTCCGATTTTTTTGTTGATTCCATATGATTTTTCTATATTTAAAAAAAAAAGAAAAAGGGAAATATAAAACTGATCGGCCTGTCAAAGATCGTGGCCAACTAGCTGACAGTTTGCAATCTCACCAAAACAGCTCCGTCTACACATATAAGATCTTTAAACCAGCCTAAAGCACCATACTCGGTTATGAAACAGTTCAAAAGTGTGGCAAGGCTGCAATACTAGTTAGTAGCAAAGCATTACATAAAAATGTTTGCCCCACTGTTAAATCCCATTATGAGAGCTTACTGTTGGGGAAACCAAATACTCAACAGCATCACAAATCTCTTTCTGTCCCCTAGGCAACACAAGCTGCCAAAAAGCCAAAGGGTGACGGCACATCGTTGAATGACAACTCCTTTGCCGGGCCTTCCATGCTTCAAGATGATGCATCACTCCCTGGTGGCTCCTGCAACCCAAGTTTTTCCAAGGCGGGCGCTGCCTTCATGTCTGGCCCCTCCGGGGATGGACACCTGTCTCTGGAATCCTTGGCTGGCTCGTACAACCCAGCCAGCCACAGCGAGTGGCCCCTGGGTAACCAGAGCCAAGCAGGGTATGCTACCTCCAGTATAAAACAGGAACCCCTCAGCATCCCTCTGCAAGAGCCCTCCCTGCTTCTTAATGCGCCAGTATACAGGACTGATAAAACACTGGACTTCATACCTGTCAAACAGGAACAAAAAGGAGGCCAGCCTCCTCCACCACAACCGTCTCCAGCTCAGAAGCTGTCTCTGGACAGATACAGAGAGAAACAAGCAGCAGAGCAGACTGTCTCCGGGCATAAACGCAGCCAGGAACAGCATGGAGGAATAATGGATTGTGACGGGAGGGGGGACATGTTATCTTCCTCCTCTTCTACCTATGCACCCGCGAGCCAAGTAGACCATAGAAAACATTCACAGCCCCACCAAACATCCCACGGTGTTGGTGGAGGCACCACCGCCTCCCCGATGAAAATGAAAGCCCCCTCCTCAACTTCAGGGCAAGAAAGACGTCATAATAGTGACAAGCGGGACAAAGGCTCACTCAAGCTCCGCCTGGCTGTCCCCGGGTCTGGCGGGGGCTACCAGCTGGACAAAGGCGGACTGCCAATCAAAGACGAGCTCAAGATGAAGATAAAAGTCTCATCATCGGAGCGCCACAGCTCATCGGACGAAGGCATGGCGGCCAACAACAACAACAAGAGCAAACATTCCAGCCCTCTGGTGATTAAGGAGAAACAGCACCGTGTAGCAGATCACCTCCATCGCCACCACAAGCACAGTCATCCTCACACACACAGCGGGAACGGCGGGGGAGGCCCTCTGCGGGGGCTGCCGGGCATGGAAGGGCCCATACTCGCTCCTCCAGGATCCCTGTCTTCCTCATCGCGCAAGAGGGCGTACCCCGAGGCCGGCCACAACCACCACCCCCTCTCCTCATTCTCCACCTCATGCTCCAAAGTGAGCAAAAACTCCAAGGGTGGCACAGTTGCTGCAGGTACTACATATTTTTCTTTCCCCTTTTCTCCTCCTTGCTCCTCTCCTGTACTGCAGTGTGTCTCGTCTGGCTTGCAGCTCTATGGCTAACCTCCCCCCTCCCTCCTCCTTATTCTTGTTTCTCCTCCTCCTCCCCTCCTGTCACACCCAGGTGGGCTGCGGACCTCTCAGCAGTACCCTCCTCCTCCTCCTCCTAGTGAATCGCCACATGAAGTGGGAGAGCAGAGACACTGAGAGACCCCTCTCTGCAGCCATGGCCCAAACTACCCACAGCTCAGACTATGCTCCCTGTTAAGTGCCCTGTGAAAAATAACTCTTTATGTCATGATAAACCCTTTACTGAATGGCAGAAACGCGTATCTGCAACAAAAAAAAAGATAAGTATTGTTGGACCTCTCAATTTCTGAGACAAGAAAGATGAAAAAAATTATGCTTCCTGACCGTCAGATCTCTGGGCCCTAATGCTCAGTCCTTTCTTTCTGTTAGTGTTGAATTGCTGCTTGGTTCTCCTTCCTCAAATGAGTCTCGGAATGTGCAAAGTTGGGTGAATGTGTGCGTTTTCATCGAGGGGAAAGTACTTCCCTGCATTTCAGATCTCAGTATGGGAAAAAGTACTATAAGAGGCACTTAAGGTGCTCTTTCTTCCTTCTTTTTTTTAACGATTAATTTAATTGAATCCCATTTCTGCGGTTGTATGTAGGAAGGCAGTTACCAGCTGGAGAGGAGTTCAAGTTGTGAAGTTATGTTGGCTGGCCTTCCAATTAATACTGTTGATGGATGCAACTTTTATTTTTTAGGTGTGAATTTTCATCTCCTCAATCTCTTTCTTGTCTTGATTTATTTTTTATACTTTAGTACTGTGCGTATGATTTGCATGTTTCAATCATCAAAGGGATTTAAAAGGAGAATACGTACTTGCTGTTTACAGAAAGTGGAGATAAATGTACATACGTTTTTGTATGTTTAAAGAAAAAAATATGACTACTCAGGTTTGGAGCTGCTTGTAAGTATAACAAGATAACTATAATACCTATAAAATACTTTTATTTTGTTGATCAACGGATTGGGTGTCATCTGGTGAATGATTGCAGCATCCCAGTGGCATGTGCTTCTTACACCTTCCTGAAGGGGGACCTGTACTGTGCTTTTCATCACAGGGAATATCAGTTGATGCCCTCAGTGACACAGGCACATCCAACACCTACTTATTATAACATCAGTGATGCAATTTCTACCAAAAACATTTTTTTTTCTTTACCTATAAGTAGACCTTTAAGCTGGATGCCAAAGGTTGTGCCTCAAAAAGACAAACAACTGACAAAGACAGTAGTAGTGTGCTATTTAAGTTTACATAACCCTTTTTCTTTGAAGTGTATCACGTAGTCATGAAATTTCATGACGTGAAGCTGTAGCCTTTAGATGTCAGCCCTTAAATGGGATACATGTAAGTATGATTCAATCAGCCAATAACATGGTACTATATAGAAAAAAAACAATCGAACCGGGACCAATTGGCCATATGCAACCAATAACTGCTGGATATTTTGGCATCTGCAATGTTAACACCCCAACTAGGTTTTGTCTTCATCCAATTGGTTAAATTGACATTTACAGCCATGTACCTGTCCGAACATGTCTTCAGTTTCATACATTAAACTGCAATGTTCTCAAATCTTGACCCCTTCTGTTTTTCACTTGGTCTCTTTGTGCAAAGTACTCAATGCTGGATTGGTCGCACCGTTGTTAGGGATTTAGGGCACACAGCAAAGCAGTTGAGGACAAATAAGCATAACCCCTCTTGTCCTTTTTTCTCTTTTTCATTTCAATATTATGAATAAACTTCAAAGTTGCCATTACCCTGACACAGTATAAACCCTGGTTGTTGTTGTTTTATTTTGCATATAACAATGTTACTACGGTTGCGAAGAAAATAAACATGTTTGATTCACGTTCTAGCAATAAGTTAATGTGGGTTAGTTGATGCATTAGCAAACTCTACACATTGATTCCTCAATAACTCAGAACTTGCTTTTGAAAATGATGCAGCAATATAGATTAGTGTGTGACAGGCAGCTGAGAGTTGCATTGTATACATTTTAAATCAAGGCATTTATAAGATTGGCACACATGAGATTTCTATGGAAAATCTACAAAATCGGTAAAAAAACATGAAATCTATCTGTTCACATTTTATATGTTCTATTAGGCAAAAGTGAAATGGTTCAAAGTGCTTCTCATGTTTCTTAACATTTTAAGAATACAATGACCATAAGCCCAATGCTCAAATACACTACTACTGCATCAATAGGGTTGGTGTCTACCCCTCTAAGGGACGCAAAAGAATGCTTAATAATAATTTGATTCATCAATTCAAATGAAATCATCAATGTGTCCTTGAACTAAACATTCTCTTGGAGATGGAACTTGTTAGCCGCACAAACCCTCTGGGTGACCACAGCAGCTTTTTTTCTGCTTCTCCCAGGAGTTCGCCCCAAACTTATTTGGGGGGATGAATGAATGCTTCAGCAGCTGGTCTGCAGATGGCCGTAGTCTCTGGTCGCTGTTAAGAGAAAACAAATCAAGATAACCGAAATGATTCCAATAAATGGCTCAAAGTAGAAAATTAGACTTAGGTTTTAAACTCTATTAGTTCAAAACTCTTTATAAGCACTGTACGTTTAATATTATAGATTGAAATAGTACGTAGGTGTATGACAGTAACAGTTCAAGCTCTCACCTTGTCAAGCTGATTTGTACAAAATCCTTTGCGTTATCTGAAAACCCATCTGGTAAGGAGGGCATCACCCCTCTTTTAGCCCCTATGTAGAACAAGGCAGCCATCTTGCCCATGTGAGCCAGTGGTGGTTTTCCTGTGGCCATCTCAAACACTGTGCAACCCACACTCCATATATCAGACTTTGTGCCATATCCTGTCTCATTGATAACCTAAGGAGTGGAAAGATTAAAAAGGCAATTTGATATTTGCTGAAAATAAAGTAATTGGAACATTGCAAAAAAAAAGAAAAAGCATTTCCAAGCTTGATTATAAATCTGATAGTTTTTTTTGGCCAGAGTAGCCCTGCATACAAGGCAATGACCCACCAAAGCCCATTGGTTAGTTAGGGCAGGGGTTCCAAAGTGGGGGTCGCGAGATGATTACAAAACAAAAATGGAAAATTAAAAAAAATATGTATTAATTTTTTTTATACATTTTCTTTTCAATTATTCTTAACGTTTGCATAGACATTTAATTCACTAGCAACCCCCCCCCGTCAACAGGGGGTCGCCAGTCTCTGGCACTGTTATTTTGGGGGTCGCGGGCTGAAAAGTTTGGCAACCCCTGAGTTAGGGTATAGGACCTGACCAAATCCGGGTAGTGGTAGCCTAACTGGTGCAGATTTTAGCACTTGAATGCTATGTTAGGCTCGTCTTGCCAAGAAAAGCAACACCATCTTTACATATTAGAAGACCTCCCAAGTGGTCTCTGAATCTACCTCTGGTGCCATCCAGTAAGGTGTGCCATGGACAGACTTCAGCAGATCTCCACTGTTGCTAGCGGTGTGGTTCAGGCAGCTGAGACGACGCGCACAGCCGAAGTCGATGAGCTTGATGACGCCAGTGGGCATCAGCATGATGTTGTTTCCCTTCAAGTCACGATGAATCACCCTGTTCAGGTGAAGGTAGGCCACCCCTTCCAGAATCTGATGTGTGTACAAGGCCAGGACACGCTCTGGCAGAGGACCAAACCTGAAGGCAGCAAGTGGTGCTGAAGGTTAGTAACAGACCATTCTTGAATCCTCAGATTTTTCTGTTACTTAACGTGTGTTGAGTTCTTGAAGAAAACCTTTCTTGCATGCCTCAATGGTAAACAAAGAATCCAAAAACTGAACAATTATTGATGAATTCCAGTATATGGGGGCGCATCCAGCAACACAAAACTATACTTAAACTAAAACTTAAACATAACTAAACTTCCGTCTACAAACAGTCACCCAACCCTTTCAGTATAGTCTCATTTATACAGTTGTGCTCACTTCGTTCCAAATATATGACATTTTACTGAACCGTTACTGTTTTGCCGCTATTTCTTAAATACACCAATTTGTTGTACACCAAGATTCTTAGTAAACCATGGGAGTAACACAAAAGCTTTCCTCAAATATCAATGGATATACAGGGTTAGTAATTTAATGTACATTTTTGGGGGAAATATTCCCAAATTATTCTTGCAACACATTCCTGGGTAACTTGTAGGTGGTTGTGACTTGTGAATAACTAACCTGTGAAGGATGCTGGCGATGGATCCTCCTGGGATGTATTCCATAAATATGGAAACCACATGCTGTTGGAGTGAGGTACCCAGGAAACCCACAATGTTGCTGTGTCTTAGAGTTTTAAGCAGCTCCACCTCCCCCTGCAGACGAATGTACTCTGTCTTGGCAGCATCTGGGTCAGAGGAATCAAGGCTCACCTGCTTCACAGCTATCAGCTGGCCCTGGCTGGTCAGGCCGCAGTACACCTGGGAAGAAGAAGCAGTGGTCGGCAGGGTTACTGGAGCATCAATGTCTGCAGACATATACTGCTTTGAGTATTTTTCAACTATTAGTATAGATTGCATGGTTGTGTGAATCGTTTATATCTTAGGATGGTGTTGTACTGTGTCATTATTGTATAGCCTAACTGTGTTAGTCCATACTTACTGTCCCATAGGCTCCCCTGCCGAGTACTTCACCTTTTGTCCATGTGATCGCGTCATTTACAACCAACACAGAGCCAAGCAGAGCACCACTGTCTGGGGTCTTTACCTGCAATTAAAAACAGATAATGAATATTTAATTTATGAGAAGGTTACTCATGAACTTGATAATCTATCTTTTATGTTTTTCTTACTGATATAGAATTGATTTCTCCATCCGATTCCAGGCTCTCAGGTTCTATGTATACATCTCTCTCGTCCAATGAGATCAGCTCCTCAGCCAGACATTGCAGCAGGTCATCTGTAAGTGGCCCGTCCCCCACCTCATCCAGAAACTTCTTGTAAACTGGTGACACAATGGTGTGGTCACCACTGCTGGAAGAAGCCCAGGTTTGGATCTTTGCCTGTTGGGGGCTTTGAGATAACACAGGCTCAGAAACTGGTCGGTTTGGGTTTTCTATTTCTTGCATGTTCATGTGGGGATGAGTATAATGAGATAAAGCTCTTGGATTGGTCAATGTGTTTTCGTCAGATTTGACTGTTTCAGACCCATGTCTAGAAAGAGCTTCCTCGATGGTAGACAAAATGGTTTCTTGAGCACTACCACGGAAAATGTCAACATCCTTAGATAGTTCAGCTTCTTTGAGTCTATCTGATACAGGCATATTCTTATTTTTCGGAATAACTTTTCTTGGCACAGGTGTGTGGAGATGTTTCACCCTAGAGGACGCATGTTTTGGTTTGCCTTTAGCTGAAATAACCATGCTCCCTGGACTTCTCCTCTGTGCTTGTTTCGATGTTCTGTGTTTGACTTTATGCCACTGTGGCGTCCTCTTAGATGGAGCAGACTGCACTTGTCTGTCCTTGACTTTCTCACAGGAGCTAGAAACTCGAAGGTTATCATAGACGGGACCAGCAAACATCTCGTAGATGGCTGGTCCTTCATCCCCACTATGGATCTGCTTAAACATGTCTTTGTAGGTGATGAAGTCCACGGCAGATTTAGACCTTGGTTTGCCTGCTATGGGTCTCTTTAACTGACAGATGGTCTTCACCTCCCTAACTGGTGGAATTCTGTTGCTGTTCATCTTCTCAGGATTTGGTCTTTTGCTCTGATCATTAAGCTTCTTCCTAGGTGATATGGTGCCATTATTAGAACATGCAACTTTAAGCTTTGACTTCCCTTTTATGACAGTCTCTCCGCCAATAATTAGCTCTGGGCTTTTCCTTGTTTTATCTTTACCTTGTGCGGAAAGTGAGGAGTTCTTAAGATTACTTGTGGACTTATTCCGATTGAGGATGCTTCGCTCTTTGCGCGCTTCCATGTTGAAGGACTGCTGGTTCGTTTGAATGTTTTCTCTCATTTCACTGTTTGTGCTACTTCTTCTGTCCTTGCTTCGGACAGGCTTTAAGGCTTTCAACATCTTCTCATCTTTCTTGGGATCCATGTCTGACTGAGGAAGTTTTACAGCTGAAGTAAATAATTGTATTTTCTCCTCGGTATTGCTAGCAGTTAACGTCAAATCCTTGCTACAAATGATTGGGCTACCTACGCCGTTTATTTCATAACAGGAATCCTTCATTCTCCGTTCTGTCCGTTTAACTTGTTGTGGGTCATTTGTGGAAGTTCCTTCACGGTATGCAATAACATCCCTATTGTCATCCTTGATAATAAATGTTATGCTATGGCTAATCTCAGTCCCAGGCTCTGGGGTGCAACCCACATAGTTATTTTCCTCTTTAGACTTTGATTTGATAGGTATTTCAATGTCCACAATGTCTCCTTTTTGTGCATAGTTCATAAAGGACTGACTCTCATCAGTCTCCTTTGTAAAAATCCTTCTGGTGGCTTTGCCTTCAGAGTGAGGGTTTATAGCTGGTTCAGCATTGTCAAGATCACTGATAGGGTCTCCGTCCAGGTCATGTACTGATCTGTGGATCAGTGGAATATGACTGATTCTTGACTGAACTTTAAAATGCTGCCCTTTATCCCAAACCAAATCAGCCTCGGTGGCGCTCGTGCTGTTGGATTGCCGCAACAATCTTTCTCCAACAAACTTAAGAGGACTTTCTCCAGAAGCTCGTATCTTCTTTGTATCTTCCTCGTCCTCCAGGTCGATGGAACTCTGGCTGCTGCCGGACCCGCTTTCCTCACTTCCTCCGTTAGTAGTCAGTGGGCTTCCCCGGAACAACCGTTCTCTCCTCAGCCGGGTCCTGGAGCAAAGGGGGCTCTGGTTTATGGGCTTCAGGGGAACGTGGTGTTTAAGTGCTGGCAGGGCAGCAATGTCCCAGGGCCTGCTGTCCAGTGGGGCCAACAGCTTGGGGGTTCTGGGATGCAGAGACAGTAAGGGACCCTGCAAGAAGGGACATTGACAGTAAGGACTTGTGAGACGACCAATTGAATGTAAGTATGACAAGATATAAGGAGGCTTTTGGTTGTTACTCACCTTTTGTTCATTTTCAGTTTCTTGAGAACCCAGTCCTGCAGACAGGAAGAAAACATATATTTAGAATGGAGTAGCATAAGGGTTGCCAACTTCCTTTCTGGTGTAAATTGAGCCATAATTTTCCCATGAGACCAATTAGAATTGGATTGAAACTGAGGCTTATAGGGGGCTAATCTAAACGCAGATGGTGTCATCCTTCTATAGCCAGTGATTGTATAACATCAACATTTACTTTTAATTCAAAAGTTAAACCAAAAACAATATCCTAAACCTACCACCGAGTTTAATTATAACATTTACAACATATAACAATGTTTCCTTTTGGATATATTTTAACATAGGAATAATCCACATGAATTCACATCTAATTTTAAAATAGCATTGCTTTGTAATTCTTAAAAGATTAAATCAGTCAAAGCTTAAATAACCACATTCACATACGGCTCTGGATGTGTGCTCTGGCCTGCATCAAACTGTTGGAACAGAGCAGTGGTTCCAGGATGCTGGGTGCTGATTGGCTGAGCGGGCTGGGCTCTGTCACAGACAGCAGGCTGGGGGAGGATGGGGGTGCAGCCACCACACTTGTTGTTCTCTTTCTGTGAGTGGAAAGTCCAAATCAAACTTTTTGTAGATTTTGTTTAAGTGCCACTTATATACACACAAAAAAAGAAACAGCAACTTATACTGAAGGTGCATTTCCATCCACCTGTGTTTTTTTTGTTTTTATTTAAAAATTAAAAATAATGTACAAATACTATTGGTGATTCAAACTGTCTCCTAATCACTCCATAAAGATCTGAAGAAACTTTACTTATAAGCAAACAGGAATGACAAGAATTTCCATCAACTCTTTGTATTGTTTTTAACCCTTTGAGGTACGACTGAAGCTATTTTAATGACGCTATCTTGTCTTCTTCTCTGGCAATTGTATACTACATTAACTAGAGGACTGTTATCTCGATGAACCAACTTCTTATAATTCCATGTAGTGGATGGAAAGAAGCATTTATATGCATTGTCTTTTAGGATTTCTCGAAATATGTTAAATCTTTCGGTCTTTTCCATTGAGAAATTTATTATGACTGTATTTTTTACTTTGTTTATTTGTTATTTAAACAAACCGGCTATCTACAATTGATTATTTACTTAAATAATGAGACCAGCTACTGTATGTACCTGTGTTTAGGAGGTACTGGCAGACAGGAGGTCCTGGTACTCAGCAAACCAGGTGAGGGAGAAGGATCCAGATGGCTCCAGCATCTGCCGTTGTCCCCAAGGTGAGGCAAAGACAAACCTCCTCTGGTGAGCAGAAAAGGACACAATACAGTAAGGTTTTCTGTTATCAAGCCTTTGACAGAAAGATTGTATGTACAGGCCAATGAGGGGAGTTCTTTTGGCTCTGATGATGAGTTGTATTGCCTTGTGCTGAACTGAACATAATAGCAATAGCCTAATTTTCCTCCCATCTGGAAGCTGATGCTGTGAAATTAGAGACCTGCTCAAAGGCCTGTAGGCCTATTCTCCTCAGAGAGCTTGGACTTTATATAGTGGTGAGTAACAGACAATGAGCTGATTCACCAGAACCCTCTCTCCCCCTGTCCCTGTATTGCTAAGCTTTTTGGGTAGAACAGGTTGTCCTCTGGACACAGGGACAGGTGCCTGCATACAGGACATGAGTGTAACTGGAGAGGACAGTTTTCCTTGGTTGGTGTTGAGTAGGAGGCTGTTGCTGACTAGCCCAGGGTGAGGGTGCTGTTTATACAAGAGACTGTATGTTGGGGGAGTTAACCGTATGCGCATAAAATGTTTGTGGGTACACAAATGTTTTGGGCTCACGTATAAACAGATGTTGGTGTGTTCACTTGTGTCTGCACTGTCAACACTATCAGCCCTTTAATTAGCACATCTTTACAGAAGATACACACTGTGTGTGTGTGTGTGTGTGTGTGTGTGTGTGTGTGTGTGTGTGTGTGTGGCTGCCGCTCAAAGTGCCCTTATTTATTGTATTTTTGTGTGTGTGGTGTGTGTGTGTGGTGTGTGTTGTGTGTGTGAGATGTGTTTGATTTCATCGTGCCCACCTGCTTCTTCTCCCTGCATACCTAGGTAGCTTGCCTGATGTCTCTCAGCGTTCTCAATGGCCGTTTTG